GACAGACAACGAAGTCATCGAAACAACGATATAGAATATAATCTGAGTTAATTCTTTTGCAGAACAAGGAGACGGCCAATGAGGGCGACCAATAATACAAGGACCCCCATCGAATGACGGAGCTCATAGTACGATTGGACCAAAAATAAATTGCACAGGGATAATGAGCATGACGTTTCAAACGCATTTTTCAGATCTAATCGTATTCCGAGCTTCGTCATCGCCGTGATTGACTGCCTCTGGCTTCTGCAGGCCAGTGAACTTGCAGACTTTTTGCAGTGTATAGGCTCTAAAATTAATAATGAAAAACGTTTCTATACAGATCACGCGTTGACCAATCACTGCGAAGTACGGAGCACGTCAAACGGCTTGCAAAAACAATCTGTAAAAGGATCGACAAGCCTGACGTTTTGGCTTCCATGTCCTCGCGCAGATATTGCGTATTCGAGACAGTGTGTTTTGTGCTTCTGTCATTCGTTGAATAGGTCCCCACGATTGGTCGAAAGCGCATGTTCTGAGTGGAGATGGACGAGCATACATTTCTAGTGGGCACGCGTGAAAAATGTACACGGGTGGGTCACGTGGTTTGGGACGGACCAACCCCAAACCGAGAAGAATACGGGGAATCTGTATTTCCTACAGTAACGACAATTAAACCGCACGATAAAGCAAATTCCGCGAGAAAAAAAAAATCGTCTTTCAGCCTATTCTGCTGCGCGGTTGGCGCGTCAAAGAATGACGGTATACTTGTAAGAAGCGTGAAATGTGCCTTTTATCTAAGGACTTTAACTTTCTAATTTCGTAACTGCTTTTTGTAATGTGTATACGAAGCCCGTTCCTCTTGGATTTTTCGTTGCTGTCGTGTCGGTTACTCCGAACGCAGCTGACGCGGATGTACCAACCAATCTTTACGTTGGCTGTCAGGCTGGAAATTTGAAACATGTGAGTAGTTTTCCACTTAGGACACCTCAAGTCAAACTCAGAAGGAACACTCAAAATGGTCGTTGGCGCATTAGCCTTCTCGTTTCCTTCCCCCTTTTCTTTTCTTTTTTTTTTTCTTTTTTTTTAAAGGGGGAGGTGGGGATGTCATGGTCCCCGTCTTTAGACAAACTGGCGTTTTTGAGCGCGTGCCAAAGCAACAAAATGTAACGCGGCCTCCCATGCCTCTTGTCAAGGAGGGGGCAAAGCCGTCGACGTTGGCGGCCCCGTTGAAGTCTCTCCTAATTGATGTTCGATGGAGAGACGGACGTGTAGCCCTTTCATGTACTGGGGCCTCCTTGGCGTGTTTAATGCGCAATGGTGCGTCGCTACTCGAGCAGCAAGCACACAAGGTAGACATGTTTTTCTACGTCTTAGCGAGATTCATGTGGAGTTTACTCCAGAACAACACGTTTAAAACAAGCAAAAATATGTTGGAAAACATTCCGAACCCCCGAATCTATAACCACCAACGGGCGTTTAAAGGACCCGGTTCTTGAGACTCCCCACAACACTTTTCGATAAACAATCAAGGAACTGCTCAGGAGTCGGTGTCGGTTCTGCCAGTGCGAGTGAATACTCTTCCTCCCTCCGACTAATACGAGTACTGCAATAATTTCACCAACCTATGATGTATGACCTCATATTCTTCAACTTTGTGTCACACCTCCAAATGGCCGCTAAGGTTTAAATTACTCCATTTAGAAGGAACAATATTGCTAGTAAAACTGATCGAAATATTTTTACCCTTCAAATACACAACCTGTAAAAAAAAAATCTGGATTTTTTTTTATAAGAAAGTTTTTCTGCGTAAATGGGCTCGACCGACAGTGGTTGATGTACGGGGTGTCACAAAAGAAAAATTACACGGTCTTTTTTACCGCAAAAATAAACTAGGCATCGCCGAACGCTCATTCTCCGCCCGAAGATAGCGCTAGAGGTCACAACCAGATGCCAAAGTTTCAGCCCGATCCGATAACTTAATCAAAAGTTATAAATGATTTTCTGAAAATTTCAATGGGAAAATGGAGCCCATTTTAGCCCGTTTTCGGTTTCTGGCGCCATAGAGCCCCATGTGTTTGAAAACTCCGTCGGCCGCCATTTTCCCATTGAACTTTTCAGAAAATCACCTATAACTTTTGATTAATTTATCGGATCGGGCTGAAACTTTAGCATCTGGTTGCGACCTCTAGCGCTACCTTCGGGCGGAGAATGAGCGTTCGGCGATGCCTAGTTTATTTTTGCGGTAAAAAAGACCGTGTAAATTTTCTTTTGTGACACCCTGTATTAGAATCGCATGCAGTTCCTCTTATTGTTTGGGTGTAGAAGTCTGTGTTTGCTTCTGATACGATGGCTCAAATATTAGCAGAGCGTGGACAAACTGGCTTAATTACATAAAGACTTACTCAACCACCGAAATTTCTTTCTTGCCTGTGTTGCTGCTTTCATTGTTCACGTCAGTAATTATTTATATAAAGGGGTAGTTAGGCAACTTCCAATCATCCAGAAAAGAGAGGCTCTTTAGTTTTCTTTATAAAGCTGCTGCATGTGAATGAAACATCTGAATATTTTCCCCGATATTTTATTGATTTGAGTTTGGTACCTAAAGATTACACTATAAAGTGCTAGAGCGGTTAATTATTTGTAAAGCATTCTCTAATTAACATCATTCCGCCTCATTGCCAACAAGAAAAACTTGAATTCCCTTGAATCTGCGAATAAGAAAAGGCTCGAAAAAATGATAAAATGAAAACTGTCTAGACTTCATAAGATGGTGAAATATACATCTCGGGATCGTCGCCGTCACCTCCACCACCATCTTCGTTACCATGGTCATTTTTATTATCATCAGTAGGGGCCTCACAACAGCCTCCCAGGGCCCAAAAATGCCTTAATCTGGCACTGCTGGCTGTGCCTTTACAAAAGCGGGGAAAAAAAGGATATAGATTAACCAAGACGGGTCTCACAAAACAACATTTCTAACGAAAAAAAAAAAAAAAATCGCTAAACGCGAATTGAGTAAGCGTCGCTTTACCATAGAGATCATGCAAAGCTGACCTCGATATGTTAAACGGGTTGCTGCTCAAAACAGCTGAATTCGCAAAAAAAAAAAAAAAATAAATAAAAAAAAAAAACGAGAGTGAAAAGACGTTGAGTGTGCAGGCGAGCTGGTGGTAGCTAACCATGTCGTATTACACCTGAGACTGCGGTGGAAGAAATCGGAAGAACTTTCAGTAGAAGGAACAGACACAGAGAACGTCTCAAACTCAGCTAACTGGTTTATTTCTTAAACAGCCTTTAAGTACCCACGGAACTTTTTCCCCACCACACTCTACAGATAAACTCCTTTGTTGCAGACATTTCGAACCGGATGGAACACGCGCAAAAGATACAAAACAACCCACACATGAGACGAGGACATGAGTCCTCGTCTCATGTGTGGGCTGTTTGAGAAATAAACCAGTTAGCTGAGTTTGAGACGTTCTCTGTGTCTGTTCCTTCTACTGATAGTTCTTCCGATTTCTTCCACCGCAGTCTGAGGTGTAATACGACATGATTAACAACGAGAGTAGGCATTTACGTAATGGTCCAGAACTAATCAAGCGTCGCTTCACAAAACAGCGACGTGTGTCGGAACAAAAACGCAAAGTTGAAACATTCGCGATAAAAATGATTAACAGGATTGAAAGTGCAAAACCAAAGAGGGCGTTCATAAAATACAGATTATTAAAGTTCTAAATTGTACCGGTCTCATAAGAATCTTGGTTTGTGACTGATCTGAGCTCACCAAGAACAAGCAATCGAAAAAGGAACGAAGAGCATGGCCATGCGCTTAAAAACCAAGTGCTCAAAATAGTCCCACGTCCTAACACGGGCGCACGCGTGGAAGATATGAGAGATCGGGTGAATAAGTTCCCAATGTGATCGAGGAATTTAAAGACATTTTATCCGCCCCATTCTGGGGCCATATGATTTGAATACTTGACTCAGATTGGTCTGTGTTATAACTTATGACTGATTCGCTTTCGATACTTGAATACGATGAGAATATCAACAATAGCGGAGCCTTAGTGAAGCTGTTGAGTGGAATACACCTCCGCTACGAAATATATCGGGCAAGGAAAGGGGGGCTAAAAAAGCTCATTTTTCGAGTGAACTCTTTTTTCGAACAGGCGTGGCAGTCAGCCAGGAGTTGTGCCGTTGCTAAACACGGTCGCATGTTCGAGAACTTTCTTGCGTTTTTACTCGCCTTTATGTGGAGCTAAAATAGGCTCGTGTGTGGTAAGCTGAAACGGGCGACGGCCGCGTCTGCAATGTTTATTAGAAACAAATATCTTCAGTGCGAGCATTCTTTGCGTTGCCCAAATTTTGCAGTTCGCACTGGGGCGTCTCGTGAAAACTTTCCCGAATTAACTGCACTGCAGCAAAACAAGTTTTCGCTGTCACAACAGCGCCTTCTCCTCCCAGAAGTGCTCTATGGTAGTGCGTTACGCGCAACGTTCATGGGCCATACCTGACTGACGCCTCACCCGGGTGAAACTATAAATTTTTCAAAACTAAATTCGCCCCCCCCCCCCCCCCCCCCAAAAAAAAAAAAAAAAAAAAGGTGCGTTGTGTTTAGCACGAATAATGCATGCACGTTTCACGCGTGTATACTTTTTGATGCAAATTAATGCGAGCAGATATAACTGAATTACCATTACAACAATAGGTTTCTGCGCGCTGCCATCTTTGTCTGCTTAGACTGCGGGGCTGTGGAAGCCGTTCTGTGACGTGCGCAGTAGTCCTCGTCTGGGAAACAATAGATGCCGCGCATGCGTCCACATCGACACTCGGCATTTTTGCAATGAGCGCTGGAACAGTGTATGAAAAGAAGCCTCAAACCTGTAGAGAAAAAAAGAAATCAGATTTTTAGCGTCTCCGAAGTCTACTGCGTACAATAATCGCTTTGTTGAAAACACAATTCCTTTAATTTATTTTGTTTTTAATATTGACTTTGTTTTTTGTTTCCTCAATTGCAGCAGCGTGAAGGTGCAAACGGCGTGGGTCCTGCGCGACCCGGCACTGCAGCTGCAAGACAGAACCGGAGCCAAGATCTGAAAGTGCATTAGTGTAACATAGGCATAGGCCTAAGATTTACGTCCGTCATGACGCCTCCGGATGGCTTCAAGAAGACATCGTGGTCGGATACCTCGGGATTGCCTAAAAGCATCCCAGCAACAGGAAGACAGACCGTGCCGGGGTGGAGAAGCAAGGCCCCGACGACAGGGGGAGACCAGCATCTCAACCAGCGGCTGGAGAGGCTGGATTCGGTTACAGAATCTCCGTCGCTGGGCAGCATCAACAGCAGTTCGTGCAGCTCCCTGGGCTCGCTGTGGGAACCCGACTACGGTCGGAGGCTGGAGCGCTACCGGTCGTTCGGCTCCGTGCCACGAATCGCGTCTGCCAGTGGCCAAGCCGGCCAACTCCCGACCTCAAGGTCATGCGGCGCACTCGCGCGGGCCCACCGTACCAGAAAGCCTCATCTGGACAGCTCTTCGGAGATCGACTGGAGGATGTCGGAGATCTCTCTGCTTCCGGACGATAATTTCCTCGAAAGCGACATCAGTCTCGTGCGCTTGGAACCAGACTCTCTCAACATATCACTGTGCTCCAACCCCCAAGAACAGCCACGAAGCAGCTCGGTCGCCAGCGTCAGAAGTACGCCACTGCTGCCGGCACCAGATTCGGCGGTCACGGACGAACGTTTGCGGTCAAAGGACATCGGGGAAGGCATTGACCACCACCACAGCGCGAGTAATCACGGGCTGCAACGTTCGCCGAAACGTAGACAGATTGGTTATTCGAAGGACAGCCTGGAGGCATTGGCAGTCCATGTTCCAAGAGATCCGGACACGCCGAGGACGCTCTCTCTGGACTCGGTGACCCTGGACGAGTGCCTCGTGTTGCTGCGACACGACGAGGCGCAGGAGTCACTGGAGCGCCCTGGCGGTCATTCGGTACGCAGGTGCTGTTCCGAGAGCAGCGCTAAACAAGGCATGGCTCGGCGTCTCAGGCCTTCTTTGTCCGACGACGATGACCCGACGCTCTCCAGTGGCTCGCCCCTTAGTCTGTCATCGAGAACCACGTGCACGCAGACGGATTCCGGTCACGAAATGGTCGTTTACAGCCGAAGCTGCCCACCGGAACCTTCGCCCCAGTCTTTGTTGTGGGAGCTTCTGGACCTGATGAAGATACTGGCTCGTGGTCCCGCATTTCAACAAGAGCATCGCTGCCGTTGCTGCTGCAACCACAATGGAAGGCAGTCTGCCGACGTCCAATCGAAATGCTCAGTGAACGTGTGCAAACGGCCCGTCAATGAGTTCGATCACAGAGGAACCAGTCCCAAAGGCAACAGGACAGCGTCCCTGTCCGATCATGCGAGTATCCAACGGTCGGAGGCTCGTAAGAACTGTGTGCTGTCTTCTGAGCGGACCAGTCTCGTACGCCTAACTGAGAAAGCGAGGTCCGCGAAGAGGCTCGCGGACGAAAGCCTCGACAGCGGAATCTTGATGGACTCGTCGTCGGTGAGTGGCTCCAGCAGTCCTGAGCGGTGGCTGTCCTCCAATGCAGAAATTCCCTCCAAAACAAGGTACGCCAGCCGTGCGAATGATCATCCGGCTTCTTTTTATCCGAAGACCAAACCTCTTTTCAGTATCGTAAGGGAGAACAGTGGAGACAGCGGGATCGCAAGCGACAGCAGCCGCAGTCCGTCCGCTGTGACCAAGGTAAACACGCAAGTCGAAACTGTTAATGGACAAATGGTCGGTTAGCGTAGCGTAGCAATAGTAGGCAGTTTTCGTAGACCGTGTTTCCCCACTCCGCTAAGCCCTCCGCAACAAAGAAGTCGGGTTGCGGAGAGCGTTGCGGGACGGCGAAAACTATCTTTGAAAACTCTCCAGTTATTCAACATAGTCGCTAAAACACCTGCTAAAGCTGTTGGAAGCGGATGTCAGTGCTGCAGGGTGTTCACCTGTTTTTGTCGTGGCACCCTTTTCTACACCCTTCAAAAATCCAGGCTGTTTCCTGCAATATAGCACCCCATTTTACGACTAAAAAAGGTACTCGAAATAAGGGTGCTGAACGGGTAATAGCCGCTCTTTTTAGAAAGCCTTAGTCGCACTGTTCCATACATCATACAAAAGACACGCTGTTCGCGGCAGACATGATGAAACAACTGTCTGCGGACGCGCGTCAAGAATGTTCGAATCGCTTCATATCTGCATACCTCGAATTTGTCTGCCAACAGTCTTTTTTATAGTGACAGCACAGGGAAGAAAAACGCCTCAGACAGTGTATGTGGACTGTCTTTGGTATGATGTATTAGCGGTGTGACCTCGGCTTAAACCTTCAACGCAAACGACCGGGGCCTGGCGCCTGCTAGGGAATGAAACGGACGCAGAGCATTGCCAGGGCAAATCGCAAAAGGGTGTCTTCCATGGGTGACGCGCAGCGGCCCGGTACGCTGCCGAGGCAAGGATCCAAGCCCGGAGCCCATGACTGGACTTTGCGGACCACACTGCGACCGGACCAGAGGGTTCCTCTCCCGCACAGACCTGTCCATCAGAGCGGCGCGCCCAGAGTCCGCGGTTCCGGAGACCTGTTCCCCGCCGACTCGTTCCGGACCCTGCCCCTGATATCGCTGTACGGCACCTCCTGGGGGTCGCGGGTGCCACAGGGATACGTGTACGGCCTGCCAGCTTCAACAGCGTGGAACTACGGAACTACGATGGCGCAGTTTCGACGGCCATCATAAGAAAAAACAAAACAGAAAAAACATTGGAGTTAGGTTAACTTGCCGACTTGCACCAGGCAGCACCGGCGATTGGCGTTGTGTACCATCATCAGTGCGTCCCATAGTATCATCAACTCATAATAACCATAAAATGTATGCCACGTCCCATATTAAAATGAGTAGGAGACTCTGCCTTATATGCCACTTACGGTGTCGGTGAATTGCTCTAAATATACAGTCGGCAACGATATGAGCTGGCACACAGTACCAGCCGAATGAATATAATTAGGCTGTGGATTTTCCGGTGTTTATAAGAAAAATCGGCGGGTGTTTCGATCTTATTAGTAGGAGCGTCTTAATAACCAATTATAATTTCGACACCCGCCCGTTGCGGTGCGTCGGCGGTACGAAAGCGCGGGAGCGGAGAGAAAAACTAGCAAAGGTGACGTCATGAGTGGGGTCAGATGACCCTGCTGGCTAGGGGGTGCCTGCAATAACGTCACTACTCTCCGGACAGATGACAGGCGCCAGAGAGGATCGCCGCGTGCCCGGCGCGCCAATCGCTGCACGTATATCTCATAATAAATGTGGCTTACGTTTACTTCTGCCCAAGATAAGAGAATTCGCCTTACTCAGATGTCTTGAAAAGTGCTTCAGCTTCCCTTTAAAGCCTTTTAACGTGACGGATGGAGCAGGACACAAGGTCTCAAGGCAGCGGTTCAAAAGGGAAGCTGTGGTTTCTTACGATGCTAACAACGGTAAGACCCGAGCGGTAAAACCCGAGGGTTGAAAAAAAACAACAAAAAAAAAAACATTGAAACAGAAGGAAGGTGGAGGGACCGCATCTCAAACTATCAGCTTCAAGGTTGTGTACAGGTGTAGGCACTGCGCGTGCGCCGCGCCAACAGCAGCGCCAGCAGCAGCGCCACCGCAGCGGCATGACGTCACCGCAACTTTTGACCGTCCGTCGCATAGGCGCTGCCATCTTGGAGTCGCGTGACGCGGCTGCATAAGGTGGCTTCCGCTCGTTGCTCCGCTCCTTTTCCTTTGCGAAGGCGCGAAAAGTAAAACAAAAAAACTTTTTATTTTTGAGGGGGGTGGGGGGATTTGTGGGGCCATCACGTGAAGAATGCGTGGTGACGCAGATCCGTTGAGCACTTTGGCCACGGGGGGCGAAACCGCTAGCCCGAAACCTAGAAACGCACCAAAATTGGGTGTTTTTTCTGGAACTCTGTAAATGGACCGATTTGGTGATTTTCGACAATGCCAAGGAACGAAACAGTTAATTACACAAAATGAGTTATTACCGCCAACGTGATTAATTTTCCCCGAGTAAGACCTTTGGCAAAGACCAATACAACATCACCCCCCCCCCCTTTTTTTTTTTTTTTTTTTTCGCCTGATGAGTAGTTTTTGCAGAAACGATTTGGCCAACGTGGTGGAGATGCCTCGATCGGATTCAGCGCGGCTCGTGGCCGAAGTGGGCAACTTTGGGAAGACCTAACGATTAGACACGATCTTCGCGTCAGTTCGGCAAGGCACTCGGAGGTTCGAGATCGGGTCCAATGATCGCTGCTGCGGCCGTCTCAAAGTTGCGAAAATCCCGCATACACCCACAGGGCAATCAAGTGCCCTGTGGGTGGTATACAGCTAGTGTTTATTCTTTTAGGCTTTTTTCAATAGAAAAAAAAAAAAGATGGGAAAGCTACACTAATGCGATTTGCGCAGGATATGGCCTGGGGGAGGGGGGCGTGAAGGGGGGGGGGGGGGGGGGGGGGGAAGCAGCGGACGGATTTGCGTGCGGGCCCGCCTTTCTTTAGACGCATGCCCCCTAGTACAACACTTGAACTTTTCAAAATAAACTAAATGTGTCGACAAACTTTTTGATTATTGAATATAATCATATTGTTATAATTAGAGACTTGATGAGCGTCAACGAAAAGCACTAAATCAGTAAATTTTAGAGCTTTGGAGCGTGTGGGAAGCGCGGTGGTGCGCCGAAGTTACACACTCGTGCAACACGCTCAAGGATGGCGAAGCCGAAATCGCGGATGATAAGATTATCTGTTACTGAAAGAATAAACACAGGTACGGACAAGACAACAAAATCTTTCGAGAGATGCTAAACCGAAATTTGGATTTCGCAAAATAAGGCCGCAGAAGCGTTGAACGGGACGCTACAAACTCCGAAACATCGCTCATACGGCGATATCCCAAACGGACGGCCGTATTTCTGAAAAAGAAGGGTGCGATCAAGCGAGGACTATAACATCACGATTCTCCTGGAACAGTTGAGAATGAGGGGAAGAGGCCTTGCTTCTCTCTTTTTTGCTTCGGTTCACCTGCTCGACGGGACAAACACGGACAAAGCGGAGAGGGAATGAGAATCGTGACGTGACACGTCTCGGGCCTCGTCGGCCGTGTTCAATCGCGCACTTCTTTTCCAAAAATACGGCCAAACGTTAAAGGGGCGGTGAGAGATTTTCGGACTTTGGCCAATTAACTGCGGAAATTATTCTGTGTCACCTATGTAACCAAGAACAGAAAACAGTATTTTCTTGCAAGCGCTAATTTTTATTAAAACGAAAATGGAAGGTCAAAGTGCCTCTCAACTCTCCACGTTGCCTTTCGCAGTGATGTGATTGGCCTAAGCCGTTTTGGAGCACCTTTTGGAGCAGCCCAAACACTGTTTTGGAGCAGCATAAGTGGCTTTTGGAGAAGCCAGAACAGTGTTTTGCAGCAGCATAAGTGGTTTTTGGAGCAACCAAAAGAGTGTTTTGGAGCAGTATAAGTGGCTTTTGGAGCAGCCAAAACAGTGTTTTAGAGCAGAAAAAGTGTTTTTTGGAGCAGATATTTTTCGAAAAATAAAGAACAAATATTCGTTTTAAGTGCTGGACAAAGGAAGGGCACTTTGCTCGACGCAATAAACAAATTATGGTCGAGTTAGACCACCTGGGAGTCTTTCCACATGTAACTGAAATGCCAATGACATGACACATTTTGCAATGCTTCAGTTAAATGGTACAAATATATGTACCCGCTAGAGATAAATAAAAACCAAACTGCACATATAAAATTTATTTGAAAATGACCAGCTCAGTAGTAAATATCGCACCATTAGGTTTACTAGGTATATGATATAATAAATGAAAGCAGCCTCCAAATCATGAAACACGTAACTACTGCAGTGCAATGCGAAATCGTATACACAAGACAAAGGTGCATTACGACTAGCGGGTACTCTTCTTTTTGCTTTTCTAAACTTTCTGCAAGGCTGCTGCAAGCCTCGCTTTGCCTTCGGCTAGTAATGAATGTCCACTTTCAATTTCTCCAAAGAGATATTAAGCCGTCCCACAAGCGTACAGTGATGTAGGCGTGGCCGAGCAATTCCGAAAAATCGCTTGCCACCTTTTTACTGTTTCCCGACGTACAAGATTTTCGTCAAAAGTAAGCAAATGCCAACGTAAAAAAAAAAAAAATGGATTGCCAACGATCGGCTCGAGCCCCTGTCGTGCAATCATGTTCACATGCACATGAGAGAAACTTCGGCAGGCTTGCAGTTGCACGTGCTTAGTTGCGCGAGCGGAGACAACGGCTGTTCAATCGAAACCGAAACCACACCACTCCGCTCAGAGTGGTGTGGTTTCGGTTCCCGACAGTGTCTAGAGCATTCCATTTAGCGCTCTCTGGGCGGGACCACTTTGTTCGACCGCAGCGCCCTCTCCACACATCCGGGAAGTTCAGCGGGTTCGGCGGGGTAAAACGAGAGAAAGGGCACGCGCCCGACTCCGCTAGCAGACGACAAACCGGGAGGTTGCGGTTCTCCATTTTTGGGCTGTATCGGCGGGCTCTACCGAACATCGAACTCTCGCTCGTGGCTGCCGTTGTGAAGTAGTTCGCGTTCTTAGAATAGTTGTGGCTACTCCAAAATTAGCCTATTGCTCTCTGTTCTACTTCGGTAAATGATCAACTGGCATATTTTTTTTCCGTTACTTAAATAGCCGTTGAGTCAGCCGGCAGTACTACCCTCAACTACTGCTTGTATTGCGGCAGGAGAGCACGTTTTATTTATTATTTCAGACTTCCACTCATGGCCGCTAAAGGCCTACACCAGTACGAACTTCTGTATAGTAAAAAAGGTACAGCAACCGGATTTACTTTTCGCCAAAGAGACCGGCCAATCTGACACAGTTTTCCCTATATATATATATATATTTTATTTGCACGCAGGTAACAGCGCAATTGGACCCCGTGAGTCTTTTTATCTAGCATAATATTACACGACAACTGGCATACCAAAATCTGCGTATCTGCGCTTGAAAGTTCCAAAATGACGCGATTTTAAACAGAGTTTGCACGCCAGCCGGACGCTAGCTACCGCCCACTCGGCGGAGCGGACGTCATGCGGGGTGAGAGGGGGAGTGCACTTCTTTTTTCTCTTTTACCCTTTCTGCTGTGACCCTAATGGAACGGTCTATACACGTTTGCAAGTCCAATCTCAGGGCGCCGCCATCTTCCTCAGTGGGGTGCGCTCTCGGGAGCGGCCATAATCCGATTACGACGCCTTAGCAAGGCTTCGTAATCGGATTATGACTGGTCCAAGCGCACCCCAGACAGGCAAAATGGCAGCGCCCTGAAGCCGGACTTGCAAACGTGTATAGACCATTCCATTTAGCGCTCTCTGGGCGGCACCATTTTGTTTGACCGCAGCGCCCTCTCCACACATCCGGGAAGTTCAGCGGGTTCGGCGGGCTAAAACGAGAGAGAGGGCACGCGCCCGACTCCGCTAGCAGACGACAAACCGGGAGGTTGCCGTTCTCCATCTTTGGGCTGTATCGGCGGGCAGTACGGAACGTCGAACTCGCGCTCGTGGCTGCCGTTGTGAAGTGGTTCGCGTTCTTAGAATAGTTGTGGCTACTCCAAAATCAGCCTATAGCTCTCTGTTGTTCTATTTCTCTAAATTATCAACTAGCATATCCTTTTTCCGTTACTTAAATAGCAGTTGAGTCAGCCGGCAGTACTACCCTCAACTACTGCGTGTAATGCGGCAGGAGAGCACGTTTTATTTATTATTTCAGACTTCCAGTCATGGTCGCTAAAGGCCTACACCAGCACGAACTTCGTATAGTAAAGAAGGTTCAGCAACCGGATTTATTTTTAGCCGGAGAGACCGGCCAATCTGACACAGTTTTCCCTGTTTTTTT